AGTTCAAACGGCTTTGCTGGCGGATTAACCCACAGCGCCCCAAGTACACTCAGCCTCATTTTAGTTGCAGAAACCTGAAAAAGCAAAGGGAGACCCCCAAACTCAGACATGAGAATACCAGAAAGATGTTTAATCATATTTACTTGTCTAAGTGAAGGTTTTTGACTGTAGATTTATAACAAACTATTAGTAACATTGCTAAATAAGGAAAATCCCACTTAACTTGGTCATGGGGGACCTGTACATAGACCAACAGTTGGACTCTTCACAATATTTAGTTTATATGCTGAACAAATAAGCAGAAAAACTGGATTGTGTGTTATCAGGATTGGAGAAAGCCTGTGATTACGCCGATAACACAACCTTCCATGAAGAAAGCAAAGGGAACTTGAAGCATTTACTGACAGAGAACAAAAATGACAGCTTTGAGTATGGATAACACTTAAATGCAAAGAAACAAAAATCCTCACAAATGGGTCAATAACATCATGATAAACTGACCAAAGATGGAATGATTTCATTTTCCTTAGAGCCATAATCAATATTCATGTAAGCAGCCATTAACTCAAAAGTTATACTGTATTCAATAAATCTGCTACAACGTATCTTTTGCTTGTTAAACAGTAGAGATGTCACTTCGAGAATTCTCTTGTGCCTACGTCAACCATGGAGTTTTCAGTCGCCTCACATACATGTGAAAGTTGGACGATGAATAAAGAAAACCAGAAAAACATGGATACCTTTTTATTATGGTGTTGTGGGAGAATCTTGAATATACTGTGCACTGTCAGAAAAATTAATAAATCTCCCTTGCAAAATGAAGAGCCAGAATACTCCTTAGAAGCAAGGGTGTCAAGACTTCTCTCACACACTTTGAACATATTATCGGGAGAGACAAGTCCCTGAAGAATTACCTGATGCTTGGTGGTGGTGGTTGTTATATGCTGTCGAGTTGGGTCCAACCCATAGCAACCCTGTATAGGGTTTCCAAGGAGCAGCCGGTGAGCTTGAACCACCAACCTTGTAGTTCAAACAACTTTGTAGTCTGGCACATTAATCCACAGCACCATACCAGGGCTCGTCATGCTTGGTTATTGTTGTTAAGTGCCGCTGAGTTGGTTCCAACCCATAGCGACCCTGAATAGGGTTTCCAAGGAGCAACTGGTGAGCTTGAACCACCGAGCTTGTAGTTCAAACAGCTTTCCAGTCTGGTGCATTAACTCACAGCACCACACCAGGACTCCATGGTTGGCAGAGGGTCAGAAATAAGAGGAAACCTGCAAATATGTGGATGGGCACAGTAGCTGCAACAATGGGCTCACAGCAATTGTGATGTTGTCACATGACTTGGGAGTGTTTTGTCGTTTTCTACTTGTATTGTTGCTTTGAGTTGGACCTGGCTTGCCAGCACCTAAGAACAACAAAATCTCAGTTGACCCTTAACGCTCATCTCTAGTGAGTTTCCTCTTGTTGAAGTCCTTCAAGTTAGTAATAAACTCTCATCTGCTCATGGACTATAGAAACTTAAGGCACAGCTTGGAGCCCGACTTTCTGGCCCTTTTCCTAGGACTCTGATTTGAGAACTGGATGATGATGTTTCTTTTTACAACATGCCAGTTGGCTTCTGCAAAGTTTAGCTCATGAAAAGAATGTTTAAAGTGTAAGGGTAAATAAAACAAATTGATTATGCCTGTTGCCAAAAGGAAAAGATACCTTGACCTTCAGTCTCAGGAAACTATATACCGTATCTGTTTGTATGGATGTTCTACAGCCCGTCATGCTTGAAGTAAAACAACATGTGCAGAAAAGCACATGTTGGCTGAGGAATTGCTGACAGAACACCCTAAGCAGCAGCAGCAGCAGAGGCATGTTTCTAGTTGGGGTTCTGCTGAAGAAAGTTTCTCAGGAGAGTACTCATAAATGGGGTTGTCTACCTTCCCTTGTGACACACAGCATGTCATTGCTGGAGTCCTTGAGTGGCTCAAACACTTGAGTGCCCTGGATGGCTAGATGAAAGTTTGAGAAAACTGGCCTTGGGATCGGCATGTGAAAGGTCAGAGCCTTGAAAACTCTAACTAGCATTTCTGGCGTGGAATCACCATGAGTCCAAATCCACTTCATGGCAACTCACAACACTCTTCTTGCCACATTGGTCATTGACATTATATGTAGCACAATTTCCCACCAATAAGTCATATTCCATTTTTTATATACAATATTTTCTATTGGATTTATGGAGTGGCGCTGTAGGATCCGCACTAGACTGCGAACCACAAGGTTCCTCAGGAACCTTGTACAGGGTCACTGTGAGTCAGAACTGACTTGGCAACACTATAAGACCAACAACATCGCTATCCAGAATGCGCTACGGTGGCACAGTGGTTAAAGATTTAACTACCAGCAGTTGAAACACACCAACTGTTCCTTGGCAAGCCTATACAGGGAATCTATGAGTTGGAATCAACTCAGCGGCAATTAACAACAACAGAACAGCTTGGGCACTTTAACCTCCTTGTTTGGTTTTGGTAATTTGGAAAGAATAACCTGAACTATATGGATTTTGTTTCCTTATTCTCCTTTAGAAGCTTCTTAATTCAGGAGCCTTTCTGTTTTACTTTACTACTCAGTGTCTTTTATTACAATATACTTCAAAGTCTCGCAATCACACCTGGCCCACATGAGCCTTGGCTTCTGAGTGTGTCCTCTGGTGGGTCAGGATGCCTGATTTCTGAGCACAGCCTTAGCCATACTCACTGCAAACATATGGCATCTCCTGAGTGTCTTCTACGATGATGATTGACGGTCCACTTCCCAACAAAGCCTTGCCCACACTCCTTGCACACATGTGGCTTCTCACCTGCGTGTGTCCTCTGCTGCAAATGTAGGCGTGACTTCCACTTGAAGCACACGCCACACTCATGACATATAAATGGTTTTTCACCTAAGTGTGTCCTCTGGTGTGAGAGAAGGCTTGATTTCCGGTCACAGTCTCAGCCACATTCATCACACGCAAGGTATTTCTGCCCTGAATGAGTCTTCCAGTGAATACTGAGAGCAGACTTCACAACAAAGCCTTGCCCACACTCCTGGCACACGTGAGGTTTGTCCCGTGAGAGTGTTGTCTGGTGGTATAAGATGGAACCAACTTGACAACACTTCACAACAAACAACTGTGTTAAGTTTGGTCTTCCTTTTAGGCATATGGATGTTATCACAGACATAGTACTTTAAGATAGATCTTGATACACTCTTTTAGATGAATAAGACACCATTCCACTTTTTTTTTTTTAAGTTTTTATTGTTGATTGGGTGAAAGTTTACAGGGCAGATAATCAGTTTTACATTCAACAAATCATACACCTTGTTTCATTACAATGTACCACAGGTACCATCAGTTAACAGTATTTCTCTCATTCACTTTAGCTTT